GTGCGGTTAAAGGGAAGTTTACCGAGTATAGTTAATATAAAAACATGTGCGGTTAAAGGGAAGTTTACCGAGTATAGTTAATATAAAAACATGTGCGGTTAAAGGAAGTTTACCGGGTATAGTTAATATAAAAACATGTGGGAGTAAAAGAAAGTTTACCGAGTATAGTTAATATAAAAACGTGTGGTTAAAGGGAAGTTTACCGAGTATAGTTAATATAAAAACATGTGGGAGTAAAAGAAAGTTTACCGAGTATAGTTAATATAAAAACGTGTGGTTAAAGGGAAGTTTACCGAGTATAGTTAATATAAAAACATGTGGGATTAAAAGAAAGTTTACCGAGTATAGTTATATAAAAACATGTGGGATTAAAAGAAAGTTTACCGAGTATAGATAACATAAAAACATTTGCGGTTAAAGGGAAGTTTACCGAGTATAGTTAATATAAAAACATGTGTTTAATACAGTGTTTCAATAGACGTGGGAAGGTTGTATTTATAACCAAGTTCTGAATACAATGAGGTTCCAACTGTAATATTTGTTTATCTATTGTTGGCTGGTAATTACTGTTTCACTTGAGCTTTTTAAAGGAACACCAAATTTCTGTAAGAAAGTTAACATCAAAATGTAACGATAAAATCGTTTACACTAGAATTATGAATTTTTTAAAATTACTATCAGTTAATAATACTAATAACAGCGGATACACCATATGAAACTGTCACCTCAATGAAATTGTTTGACACCATTGTTTTGGTTTGAGTTATGTAATAAAGAAGCAGCAGAAAGAAGAACAAGAAATTCAAACTTTTTGCTATAATATTTACAGATATTACCAGAACTTGTGATTCAGTCATTACATAGATATTGTTATAAAAGGAAACACTGTATAGTATTGTAAAGTTCTTGAGGAGATATTTAAAATATCATTTCGATGAACAATCCGAGCCATCCCTACATAGGCAGTGCTGCCACCTGCCTAATAAAAGAATTGTTCTCATACGCATCACAATGTCCTATTGTTGTTTTTTTTCCAGCTCTGTTATAATAATGTTAAACACGTGAACAACGATGAACTTTCAATATTTATCGAATATATTTCCAAGTACGGAAGTAGGTATTTGTGTGTTTGCGTGATGACTTCACTAACCAAGTCTGTCGTTGACACGAGAGCTGTAGCGCCATTATCGGAAAGAGAAGGATAAGAATATAGGAAATTACCTAATTGAAATCGTTTGACACGTGCACTGAATAAATTCGTTATTAGCTTTAGTTGCAGTGATCTTTACAGTACAGAATAGAAGTGTTTCGTACCTTCACTCACGGAAGGCTAGTTCGATCTCCCGTAACGCGGACATTGAACGTCTCAATCTAGTGGTAACAGTTCTTAGAAAAATAAAAAAGCTGATGCGACTTCTCGTGAGTGTTGTACGAACTTCATATTTGGAAACAGTACGTTTGATATTAATAAAAAAAATGTATTTAAAAAGTGATCAAATAGAGAGAACTATTGAATAAAAGTGATTAAAGATTCAGAAGTCTGACAAGAAGTTTATAGTTACGTTTTATTATAAACTAATAAGCTTCAAATCGTGACAGAAGGTGGGGGATGATCCACAAATTAATTTCTTTTCGTATTTAATATTCAGAAACAGAAGAAAATGGCCTGACTTTGCATTATGAGAATGATATTTTATTTACAGTTATATCAGAAATACGTATTAGCAGACGAAAATTATACACCTACTAACTGTAACGGACTGTAGGGTATATTTTATGGAATAAAAGGTAAATGTTTTGTTTCACACAAAATACTTTCAAGTTACCTTACTTATGGTATATACTGAGGAGACCTCTACATTACTAAACTTAATGTCAATAGATGGCACCACGAGATAAATATTGGAATATTTAAAACATATCCAATATAATTATTTGTTTAGTAACACCCAGTTTGCTTCTTTTATTTAGGTTAGGTTTTCTTTCCTTTTTTATGAAGAGGTGTGTGTAATGAAAATTAAACTTTAATTATGAAAATAATTCTAAATAGATATTAAAAAGACACGAATTAGCGACGATGAAAGGAAAGAAACATGGCGGATCGATCCGGGCAACAGTTCAGTGAATCACTTTCAGTTTATCCTCGCGTTTGCTTATCTCGAGATGCGATAAGTGGACTAAGATATCGCTAAATTATAAGTATATTTAACAAAAAGTTGTAGGTGAGACAAAAATTTATTTTAGGTCAAAATTAATTTTACAAAAACTTGGGTTTGTCCTTTTGATTTATAAAAATTCATACTGATCTTCCGCAAAATGCTTATGCATTTTATTTTTCACAATTTTTCTTGCTTTCTCCCACATAGTCTTGCTGAAACTGTTTACTTCATATACATTCCAATATAACCGACTTCCAAAAACAGCGCCACCTCGTGATAGTTATACAAATTACAAACTCTTTAATCAAGCAAAGCAAACACAAGATGAGCAATTCAAAAATTTTTTATTATTATTTCAATTATGAGCAGAAATTCAAATTGATTTTATTACTTTTGAAATCAATTTAACACTTGTGTCCCGTATGTCTGTAAGTATTCAGATACCTCTATCCATCAATGGGCCAATAGCTATAGGCGCAAGTGTTACTTCACCATACTGTTACGTTTCTGCACGTTTTCACACGACGTTCTAACACTGCTAATCACATGGCAGTAGGTTGTAGTAGTCGTCGTAATGAGGTTAGAATCCACTGTTCTCAACGTAGGCAGATTTAAGTGGGTGAGAACCAAGGACCCGGACCGGTTTCTTAAGACGGGTCATCAGCACCGGATATAAGCCCTACGTAAGCTATCAACAATGCTTGAACCTATAAATGGTTATAGTATATGAAAGGCAGTTAAATAACAGTTATTACGCGGTATAATCTGATAATAATTATGTTTCAGCCTCTACTCGTACGTCAGGTAACGTCTCGCTTAAAACAAATGTGGCAACCATTAAAACCGCGTGAAATATTCAATTCGAAAGTTTCTGTTTGTACAACACGAGTCGAACTCTGTGTATTATAAACATTATATTGGGTAGTGATTGGTAAAGTCAGCTCAGTTTCTCTACGGCTGGATGTGCCCAGACTGTGAATCCGAGGGTTGATGGATTACGACACGTTGTCTTAAAAACGCTCTCCGCACTGGGGCTGTAGATGTGATGTAAGAGTGAGATACAGTTTTAGTTGCTTAAAAAAAAAAAAGCATATTTGTAGCGTAACATTAATAACGATGTTAAATATGGTGTATTGTTTACTGAAGTCTGCTATTGTGACAAACGTCAACAATCGAGACTCTGGAAATACATGTTAGTAACTACCCTAAAAGTAGTTGCAGGTAACTAGGTGTATATCTTGATCAATTTTATGCTCCGGATAACGGAAAGAGCATAATCAGCCCTCTATTTGTCTAGAATGAACTTATTAATGCTACACACCTCTTCCTCTAGGTGGTGAAAGGAGTTCTTTGCGCATATTGGACGAGTTCTGGCAGTTGTACTTCAGCTGTCTCCTCTACCCCTTGATTTCAAACGGTCTGATTACGTTGAAGGGACTGTTAATAAATAAACGTGTTTCGCACAACTCTAGAGGAAGCAGTTATGAAATAGAAGTCGTTATCAAGAGAATTCATATATATATATATCGTGTCTAGAAACATTTGAAATGGTTCACTCTGAAGAACGGTAATTTTTTTCTTACCTTCCAACATGTATATGCGTGCAAACTTTTTGACAGTTCTGTGTTTAATTTTATATTGGTTTTATTTTCGAGAATTATTTGACTTCCCTCTAACGAGCCAATTAAAAGCGATATTTTGTGTGCCATTAGTACGTGCTGCAGAAGCGCTTGTTATGAAGTTGTAACTCTGTCAGTACCTTAATTCACAAAGCTTCGTATCAAAAACTTAAATAAACCTTAAAGTGGCTGCGGAAGGACTAGTTCTTTTGGTTTGTATAAACTCTGTAGAATTGTTATTTTTACGCATATTTGAACACACAGAGGGCCAGTAGGTGAAGACGAAAGGTGTAAGGTCTTCGAAATGTCGTCCAGTCTACCTATGCTACCATTGTAGATCCCTAGGTCTCTAGGATTAACCTGTATCCCAGAACCAATTTCACCTCTGTTTTGTTCGACTGCTAACACTAGTGTGAATAGGCCGTACGTACCTTGCCATTAGGTTAACTATTAGTAAGGATTATTCTTACCCAGAACTAATTTCTCTTCAGTTTTTTTTTTTACTTTATGTTGCTGATCCATCGCCAATTAATTGTTCATTAGTTTTCTTTAAAGCTTCTGTGTTGTTGGACGTATCTGAAACTTATCCGAGCAGGAACAACCTAAAGAAACATTAGAAACAACAACAACGACGATGACATTTTTGATGCAAAATTAAAATTCGTTGCAATTGTTAAGTGCTTATAGTAAAACTATGACAGTTGGATAACAACAACAACAACAAAAGATACAAGTTGGTGAAGCACAATTATAACTAATTGTATTTCCTATAAGACATTAGTAAAATTAGGGCTATTATATTTTTTAAAACTACATTCTTTATATAGATCCTTAGGGATTTTTGCAATCTGCGGGTCGCGGTTTCGAATCCCCCTCCCGTCGAACATGCTCGCCCTTTCAGCCGTGCGGGCGTTATAATGTGACGGTCATTCCCACTATTCGTTGGTAAAAGTTTAGCCCAAGAGTTGGCGGTGGGTGAAGATGACTAGCTGCCTTCCCTCTAGTCTTACACTGCTAAATTAGGGACGGCTAACGCAGATAGCTCTCGTGTAGCTTTGCGCGAAATTCAAAACCAATCAAGCAATCAACGTTAGGGATTTTTAATGATTAGAAGAGTGTATAATAATATTATTCCAACTACACTACCCCCCCCCCCCCAGTGGCACAGCGTTATGTCTGCGGACTTACAACGCGTAGAATCCGGGTTTCGATACCCGTGGTGGGCAGAGCACAGATAGTCCGTTGTGTAGCTTTGTGCTTAATTACAAACATACTACACTATGTTCGTCATATACATTGCCCCATTTGGTTGGAAATGCTATTATTATATATTATCCTAATTATCTAAAATCCCTAAGGATCTATATCAAGAATGCGGTGTTTAAAAGAAAATAATTAATAATTATTGAGGTGATCAGATGGTATAGGGCAACCTTTTTTGATCGCGGGTCAATTATATTGTTTTTTGAAAAATTTAGCATCGTGTTGGGTCAATGATAATCATATAATTATTAATACCGGTAAACGTATTTTAAATGTGTATGTTTATTTACATACAAAAAAAAATAAATTAATAGTTCGACCAGTTTGATATTTTCCCCTGAAATTGATCTTAAAATTCTCCGTAGCCGTGACTCTTTCCTTTAATATCGTTGTTCTTCTCACATAGCCGCGGGTCACTTAGTGACTATAGGCTATTAACCCTAACAACGTTTTGAAATTGTCACTTTGTTGTGCCCTTCGAATTACTAGTATTTATTCCATGATCTATTGTCGTGAATCTTTGTACCTTTATATATATATATATATTATGTTTTAATGATGGTTTTCTTGGAAAATCCTTTTTTTTTATATCCACGATTTAATACACACGCAAAAACAATGAGTCTCTTTCTAACACGCGATAACATTGACTCGTCTTCACACGCTTAAATATACGGTTCAGTTATTATGAGGAGGTGATGAACTTCAACCGCTAGATGGTGCGCTTGAGCCTACGATGTCTATTGGACTTTGTTTGGTTTGTGTAGGCCAATGGGAATGGGGTTATTGAACTCTGATCTAAGACCTAGATGGGTGAAACTGAAAGTGGCGAAAATGGTTCAAGAAATTGTTGCATGTTTATTAAGAAAACGAAGTTTTTGAAACTACACTTGGCAAACTTTTTAACCCGACAACTTATTATGCACACTTAATAAACTTCCTTTAACCCCACATGTTTTTATATTAACTATAATCGGTAAACTTCCCTTTAACCCCACACATGTTTTTATATTAACTATAATCGGTAAACTTCCCTTTAACCCCAATAACCAAGTTCTGAATACAATGAGGTTCCAACTGTAATATTTGTTTATCTATTGTTGGCTGGTAATTACTGTTTGTTTGAAATACAACCTTCCCACGT